AATTTTTGTACAATATAAAAATTATTAATTATAAAATAAACGTGCTAACATTAGTGTTTAAAATTTATATAATTTTTAATTTAAAGATAGATAGAATATAAATTTATAAATAATATAATAAAATTGACAATAATTGATTAATATCTTTTTAAATTTGTACCAATATTTTGTTAAAATGCAAGAATTTATCAATTTAAAAAAAAATGATGAATCAATTAAATTAAAAGGATTAATTAGGTTAACAAAATTCGATTTAGTTTTAATCGAAAGAATTTTCATAGTCAAAGAAGTTTCATAATCAGAGAGGCATCATTGGTCTGACAAAGATTACCGAATCTAACGAAGAGTAATCACGTCAAATAATTCTGATAAGCTGATAAGAGATAAGAAGTCGATATTTCAACGACCTCTAAAAATATAATCTCTTTTTTTTTTTCGATTGTTAACCGAATTCTTATTCTCTAATCTTTTTCACTAAGAATTATTATTTATACATTCGTTTAGATATATTCGCTTATATTATATTAAATTTAGTATGTTGTATGAATTATATTTAAGTAAATTTATATTATTAAAAATTTTATTAAAATTAATATAATTGTATTAAAATTAATTAATTGAATTTAAATCATTAATAAAATTGAACTAAATTGAATTTAATTAAATTTAAGTTTCATGAAATTTATTAATTAAATTTAAATTTAATCAAATTTAAATTATGAAATTTAAATTTACATCAGTTAAAAGGACTTAAAAAAACGAAATCTTTATTAACAAAAAATTCATACATTTTTTTCAACAACTCAAATATCTTTTTTATGAATCACTTATTTCTTCAAAATTATTTATGATGCGGTTTTGAGAATGATTTCAACGAAAAGTTAAGATTTCTCGGTACGTCACTATTTCTTTAAAGATAAAATCACGGACCGGTAGTTTAGAGACGTTAATCGTTGTTACTTAACGAACAGGTGCATAGGTGCCGCGTTTCTCCCCTTTCTTCCGTTTTCTTCCGCAAGAATCGGCAGGCAGGAGTTTGAAGAAGGACCCCTTCAAGAAATGATGCAGGTAGCCCACGTTTCTGGACGCCCACAAACCTGTTTTACCTGTTATATCCTGGCTGGCTTATGAGTACCATCGATTCTTATGCTCAATCTTTTTCTTCAATCTTCTTTTTTCCTTTCGAAAGGATCTTACAGAAAGAAGAGAGAAAGAGAAGACGGAAACGTCAAATGATTTGTCAATCAAATCAGTCAACTTCGCATATTACATTTAAAAATTCCATATTTCACTTATTGCGAGAAAATAATTTGTCAATTGTTTGATTGAAATCATTTTCTACATTAAATTATATTTATTATTTAAATGGCTATAATTGGCAACAATTTTATTAGTAATCTGTAAAGAAAATCGGTTAAAAAAAGAAGAAAGAAAATGTATGTATATATATATAACAGCTGTTTTTGTGATGTCAACAGCTAAAAAAAAGATTTTAGAAAAAATTTTAACACGAATGTAAGAGACAAATCCGATGCTTGGACATTGAAATTTTTTTTTCAAAAAATGTTGTGTCCATGGTTCTTCTAGAACAAGATTCCTTGGAATTCAAGTCCAAGATCTAATAGATTCCCAAGATGGGTAGAAAGGAGCCGGTAACTTTTCAGGAGGATTCTTTCTTCGATCGATCAGATGTAAACGTAAGCAGGGAGAATTCTATTGTAGATCATCGTTCTTTCAGAAAAAAAAAGAGATTTCGACCTCGAGTCCTCGCACATACCTGTCCCATGATTAATGTTACGCCTCCTTGGGAACCTTTTTGTTGTCTGACAACCCCCGGAAAATCCAGCCGGACCAATAACATTGCCTTTAACTCTGTATCATATTTAAAAAGAATCATTTATAACTTAATATATATAAATATATTTATAAATAATTTATAACATCAGATAAAAATTAATTATTATTTAACATAATATTTATATTATATTTATAGAATGGTTTTTTAATTTTTGATACAACATTATTTCGTTTTGTAGTTTGAATATTTAAAATACAAAAGAATCTCGATAATTCGAATTTCAAAGAAAGAACTAAAATCTTCGAGTTATGGAGTTTTAGTAAGTTTTAGTAAGAGAGATTTAATAAACGAAACTTGGCATATAAAGACTTTGTATGGGAAATAATATTTTTCCAATTGATGAGTACTCGAAGAAAGAGAAATCTATAAGTGTCGTCTTTTGTTTTCGGACATTCGCAATTTTAACTGAAAGCAATTTTTTAACTAAGACAATTTTAATTGAAAAGAAGGAGAAAGTATCGAATGGTCGGTTACTGACACATAATTAAATATGTACTTTGAATTGTAAAAAGCATCGGTGATAAAAGTTTAACTCATAGAGGTAAATTTTGATTTGTAAAGTCGAAGTTCGAAAGCAGAAATATTATAAAATAATGCATTTAAATGTTGATTTGAATTATTGACTTAAATTAATTTTATTATTTTAATTAGAAAAAAACTAAAAAAAAATTGCTTTTCTCTCCCAGATTCAATATTTAAAAAATAAATTGACATATATTAATTTTTGAATAACTTTTAGCTACTTAATCTTTATTTTTTATTATATTATTAATTAGTATTATTTTCTTTTATTTAATATTATAAATTATAAATATATTATAATATTATAATATTATAAATTAATATTTTATAATTTTTTTTAATTAATTAAATCTAATTTTACTTTAATTAAATTAATTTTTATTTAATTTTTTAAATTCAATCCAATTTTTTTCACCCAAAATTATTTTCACTAATACATTTTATTTATTGAAATAATATTATAAATTTTTGTTTAATAATATTTATTTTCAATTTCAAACAAAAATTTATAAAATTAATTGTATGATGAATATATAAACAATCAATTATATAAATAAAAATTAAAAAAAAAATTTATTTACAAATAAAAGTAAAGTAAAAAGTCGAATAACGTGCAAATAATAATCAATAATTTTGAAAATTCGCTTAGTTATTAAAATTATCGTTCAGAGTAATCGAAATCAAACCAGAATATGTTTCATGTCTTGGGAAAAGGAATTTGCTTTGTCGCGGTTACGTCAACGCATCGACCGAAGGAAGAAAGAAAGGGAGATCTTGCAGCCTCGAAGAATGCCGTGTAATGATGTTGCACATCCGGGAGGACGACTGAAATGACGTCGATCCCCTCCTCTGCCCCTTCTCTTCTTTTTCTGCCGCTTCTTTCCTCTCCTTTTCTCTCTCTTATTTCCTTGTTCGTGTTTCATGCTTTGTTTATGTCAATTATTTCCATTCTTCATCTTTTTCGCACATCTTTTCTTCTACGTGTTTGTTATCTATTCTCTTGTTTATTTTTTTTTTTCGATTTATTAATTATTATTCATTATCTCATTTCTAATATCTTTTTCCCAGTTTCTTCACTTTTTCTATCCTTTTACAATGAAAAATACATTACAATGAAAAATGTATTCACATGCTTATAAAAAAATTCATTTATTTCGAAAAATTTGATTTTAATGAATATTTCCGTTTATTTGAAATATGAGTTATATACAAATTTATTGGCATATATTTTTTAAACGATAGAAATTTTTTCAAAGACATGAAATCAATCTTAAAATTTTTATTATTTTTTTTTTATGTTCTGTTTATACAATTTCATCTGGAAATATTTTTTATAAAAGTTAATAGAGCATTAAAACAATGAATATCCTATAGTTTAAAATTTTGCTCTATCATTGCATTTAAAAAAACGAAATTATAAAATATTGAAATATTAAGAATTAATTTCATATTCTCAAAACGATATTTCATTAATAAAAAAATTGCTTCATTTATTATTATTATGGATTATATACAATGTTTCATATAAAACAGAATTATTATTAGATCTGATAATAAAATTTAGTTGAATTCGCATAAGGTGTAAAATTTATGTAATTGTAGTTATCTCTTACTATTTTTTCAATTTTAATCTTTTCTTTTATTTTTCTTCTTCTTTAATTATTCTCCTTTACGTTTTCAACCGTTTATACTGGATTATGATGGAGAATTAAACGATGATAGAATAATATAATTCCTTAAAAGTACAAAGAGAGAAAGAAGAACGTTTAAATGAAACGAAAGAAAAAAGAATTGTAAACTTCATTTAATTATTTCGAAATATTATTCATTTTTTTCATTAACTTTTATGCTAATATCTAAAATTTTCAATAATTTAACTTTTAATTTTAATAATTTTTTAGTTAAAAAAATTGTAAAGTTGAAGTGCGAATCAATAATAAATATATATATAGATATCAAATAAACAAAATAAATGCAAAATTTGAAAATTTTTAAAGCAAAGCATATAAAATTTTAAATTTTAC